TGTTTGGAATGCCAATAAGAAAACTGATGATATGTTTGGTGAAAAAAAAAAAAAAAATGTGAAAAAGATTTTTTAGTTGGTCTTTTCCGTCTGCTGGTCCCCGTTCCGATGTAGAAGTTGACTGGGAGCAGAACAAATTGATGATGAACCTGTTCAAGGTCTTTGAATCAGAAAGAGAAAAAAGTTATTCTTGGTTTGCGTCGTGTTTTTCTCTACAGATCGTCGTCATCATCACTGTCATCATCATCACCATCATCAATACCACAACCACCATACCAAAAAAAATAAGAGGAAAGACAGCTGTTTGGCGGAAATTTTGTGAAACTGTTGAATAAAAATAAAGAAAACTTCATATGTACCGGTATTTACTGGATGATTTTCCTCCTTGTCATTTTTGAAGTAAAATTCCATAAGATAACAACTGAAACAGTGGCGAAAAAGTGGGAATTAGCCTTTCTGAATGGTAGCAAAATTGCTTACACGGTAACCCAAAGATGAAAGCCGTTAAAAATAAAACAGCTTCAGTTTTTTTTCTATTCAACAGTATTTAGTTGTTGTTTAAGGAATTGAAATACGTAAATAAAGTAGAGCAACAAGAACAACAACAGCAGCACTACCACTACCACCAAACTGAAATCGACAATGAAAAAAAGAAGCAGAATATAACATTTCCCCAAAATCCATCGCTTTTCACTTTTTTTGGTGGTTGTTGTTGTTATTTTTTTAAGTGACAACAGATGGTATTGGGGTTCAACCGTAAAAGAAACCTAAAACTAAGATCGTTTTATTAAAGAGTAAAAAAAAAAAAAAAAAAGTAGAGTGAGCAGAGAAAAGCTGTACTGAAGGATAAAAGTTCCAAAAGAAGGAAAAAAAAGAAAAATGATAATAGAAAAATGTGGAAAGAAAAATTTATTTGCATTCACAAATGATGGTCAATGATGAATCAGCCAGCCATCTTAAACAGCACCACTGCAGCAACTACCATTACAGCTTTTTCTTCCTTTCTCCGTCAATTTGTTATTAATTCCCAATTCAACAGAATGCAAAACAATTAAGCCCACCTTCTTCTGCCGACCAAACAACATACCATGTACAAATTTACGTTCCTCAGCTTCCATCGACAACAATCGTCAAATTCTTTCTACAGCTAACAGCAAAAACGAAAAAACCTTCCCGACCACCAAATACCTCCAGCACTCAGACATTTTACTGGTAGTAATTTCAAATTGTTTGCAACAGCATCATCTTTCCTGTTCCTCCACTATCCTTCAACATTATTTTACCGGTCAGTTTAGAAGTAATGCCAGCTTCTAGTTCATATCGGCCTTCCGATGATCAATCAAATTGCTAGAGACAGCAGTTAAATGACAGAAATCTGTTTATGTACCATCATTACTCGGCAACATCGACAATACCACTGCCATCGTCTCCTTTCAAAACGTCACTCAGCCCTGATTAAAACATACAAAGTCAGAGTAATAATAACAGCAAACTGACGGGACTTGCACCGCAGAGTTAGTTATGAGGTGCCAATATCAGCATCACTAAAGCAAAAATAATTTTTTTCAGGCTTCTACACGTAGACAAGGTGTGTAGAGCAAGTTTACAGCTGTAGACGATTTCCAGAACAATGCTGCTTCTAGATTTCCTATAAGCCGGTACAAATGATATTCGTGTTCCGGCTCAAACTCAGAAAACAAAGAGTACAAAAATTTATTCTTGAGATATGGCTTAAACACATATTTACACCAGTTTACAACCAGAAAAAAAGTGAAGGCAAGATAACAAATAAAACAAAACTGTCTAAATGTCCCTTTCTTTTTGCTTCACTCACACCTAAATTTCTTACAAAAACAGTTTAAACTTTTATGAAAATCAGATTCTGCTAGAAAGCCTCTTTCTTATCTATCCCAGTTGCTTCCTCCATCTACCGAAGTAAAAGAAAAAAAAAAGAAACACTTTATTTTCAAATTACTGGAACTTCTCTGACTGTACCAACTCCTGGAAATTAATAGAAACAAAAGTTGAAAAGATGATGAGTTTAAAAAATTAAGGGTAAACAAAATATATTTCCATGTAATTGAAAAAACTTCAATTTATATCAAGCAAACTAATAAACATAAACAATTACATTTAGAGCACTCTACAATTAAAGACTATAGCTCACCGTAGCGTTACGACGTAATTTTGAGAACACTAAATCAAGCTCTAAAACATTAAAAGGAACAAAGACCAAAGATCCAAACAAAATAAAAAACACAAGAGGACAGAAAATAGTCAACGGATAAACAAGACAGCCAAGCCAGATAAATGTGTATTAAACAATCTACCTATAACAGTAATATTAAAATACTAAAGCAATAAAGTACTCGTATTTTGTTACAAAGTATTTTTATCCTTCAGTTAAAAAAAACCTACCTTGTTAAAATGAACCCACTATCGGAAATAAATATAGCACAAAATCAATGTTCAACAAAACCACAATTATGAGTTACAACTGTTAAAATAATGTTCAAGTTCTATCTTTTAATTTAACAACAAATAAATACCTGTCCCATAACAACTAAAGTTGCTGATAAAGAGAACTATCATGCTTCATTTCAGGTAAAAAACTAGATAACCACATCTACTCATGTTTAATTAAATGCCCAGCAATTTTAGTGCATTTGAAACTCAAAAGAGAGAACTTTTGATGCAAATCATATCAACAACTATGATCAAACATACAGATAAGCAGCTCTTTACAAGACAAATCAACTCCCCTAGCGAATTCCTACAGCAACTTTTGAGCTCCAAATTCAGGTAGAAAAACCAATTGAAATTACGGCAAAGTGATGTAACTCAAAAAAAAAAAAGCTTAACTAAAAGAAAAACAAGATATCTTTTTTTCTGTACAAAAACTTATAGAGTAAAACTTGCAACGTTATTATGAACATATTCACATGACTTTCAAAAAATACTTCATGAAACACTTTTTCCTGTCATTTACGGTAAATCAATCATTTGATTTTCCTTCTAATCGAGGAGTTTTTGAAAAAGGGCACTCGGGGGTAATTAAAATGTTAAAACAAAAAATAGCTAGTCAGTGAAGACAAAACAGGCATTACAAAAACATAGCACCACAAAATTAAGTTCTTTCAAATTCTGTCAAAAACTTTTTATGACAAAACTGTGCGTGATTGGCAAAACAAAAAATCAAAAATTCAAAACTTCTTCATTTGATACATTGGCAAACAAAACTGAATTAGCAACTGCTGAAGCAAAGCTTCCCTGAGCACCATGATATTCTTCTTTTGACTGCATCGGGATTCTAAAAAACCTTTTAACTACCAAGAGGGGTACAAACTATGAAATTTTTGAAAAAAGCCAACAATAAATTTTATCCAAACTGTTTTTTATTATTGCTTTGAAAAGTGAAAAAAATGATAATTTTTCTCGTGATTATTATTCATTACAACTAATAAACCTTTTACAGCTGAACTAATAAACAAAAGAAAGTGAGATTCATGTTAATGGCTACTCGCTAATGTCCATTTTTATAAACTTCTTTAATAGTTCGCTAAAGAAAGCAATCAACTTAATCAAGTAACTAGAAAAGTAAAAAAACCATTTCCAATTAATATCGGCAGCTTGTCATAACTTTAAAAAAGACCAGAACAAATATTTTTAAATATTTCTAACTTGTTATAAGGTTTTAACAATTAAAAAAATTAAAAAATTTTTGAAAAAAGCTAGCCAGTATATACAACTGTACAATTTAAATTTTGAAGAGCCAACCCCCTTACTTCCTTTTAGGCTTCGGCGGCACTGGCGGAGGAATTCTTTGAGCAGGCCGTGGTGGAAGAGACCAAGAGGAATCAGCAGGCCCATGAGAGTCAATTTCACTTTTTATTTTTGGTTCTTGAGAACTGATACCGTCAGTTAGCTCGGTTTGTGATAATTGGATTTTATCAGAAGAAGAACTACCAGCTGAACCTTCAGGCTTCACTGACGCATCAGACCCGATTGGCTGGAACTTCAGACCTACTGATCCGAACGGAGATCTAAGTTGTCTCAATGGGCTGAGATCGCAGTTATCGAGAGCTTCGCTGAAAATGTTTCTTCAAACATATCCTAAAAGTATTGAACTAAACAATTTAAAACATTCTAAACGGTAAAAAAACTAACACTTTGACTGGACTTCTCTGGGTGGAATTTACATCTTTCGGAGATTCTAATTTTATTTCAGAAGAAGCAAAAGGCGGTACTCTAAAAAATGTTGAATTACAGCTATTATATTTGAAATCTACGACAGTGTTATTAGAACAGATAGCAAGAACTGCGCATTTGAAAACTAGTTATCTCTACTCGTGTTGATAACAAAACTTCGTAATTTTTAAAAAAAAGCATACTTTTCATTTTCTAATACTGGCACATTTTCTGCTGCCAGATCTGCTTGCAAGCGGCCGTTGATTAAAGGAACGGTTCCATACTTTAATTCGTTACCACACTGAACCAGCATCTTGTAAGCGTTCTGAGCCTCTTCGCTCCACACCAGTGGAATTTTAGATGAAACCGTGTTGCTAAAATCAAAAAAAAAAAATTGTGTTCTGCAAAACTGTTGAAAATTGTTTTTGAAGACTGACTAACACTATTAAAAAAAAAAGAAAAACATTGTAAGCTTTTGGCTACAGAAGTACCTGAAACTTCTAGAAAGCTTTTCGTTTTCTTCTTTGCCACTTGAGGATAAATGATTCAGTAAATCCATTTCCTTACTGCGTTCTTGATTAAGTATCTTGGTTGCCTTTTTATGTTCTCGACCAACCTTAACCATATTTATTTATGCTAAATGCTTCAAAAAAGTTGGGCTTTAATCATTTAATGAGTAAAAAAACAACATTTAATTTAATAATGAATTTTGCAAATACTCTTTCTTTCCAACGTTCCAGCTCCCCTTCGGACATCACGCGGCAAACAGACGCTTCATCCACAGGCCCTTCCATCCTACCCAGAAAAATATTATTAAGAACAATAAAATTCTGTTGAATCTCGACCAAAAGAAAGCATAACTCCTTACGTACTTGGCATCACGACTGTGATCTTTTTCTTTTTTGAGAAGTGGTCGATTTTCACTGGTTTCATCTATTACAGATGCCTCCGATAAAGAGAAATTTGTTATTTGATTCATCTCGTTTAAGATCTCGGTAAAAGTTCCGTTCCCATCTTCGAAAGAGTCCTTCCTGAAGCGGAACTTCGAGTAAAAAAAATACGGCTTTTCAAGTGATTGAAAACTTCATGATAATTGCTGCAAAAAAGGTTTGAGTGAAAAATATTACTTCACTGCATCATTTTTTATCCCTCCACCTCGATAAGGAAGGGCAGCCACAGAAGTAGGTTTCGTTCTCGGTAACGCTACTAAGAGCTGATCGGTAAACGCAGAATCTGACGTTGTGTCGAGATCAGTAAAGGAAGTCACTGCTGTGCTGCACGACGATGTCCGTCCATTCTGAAAATCAGTATCTTCAGCCTATATCTATCAGGAAGATTCAAAGTGAACGATGACTCAGGAAAATCCTAACCCCATCAAAAAATTACACTAACTTCACTTTGAGGAAATCCAATTTTAAGTGATAAAAGAGATAAATAGTGGAAATAAAAGTCCCAGACCTTAGAACTATTTCCTTTTTATTGATTTGAATTTAAGAACATGAAGTAACGAGCAGGAAACCATAAACCAAAAGTTTGTCACCCCATCAAATTATTCTTTATATAATTTCATGAGCAAAAAGAAATTGCAGGCCCAATGCAAAACACGATACCGGTACTGGTAATACTCCAAAAGACGATCCATCAATACCAATATGACAAGTATGCCGTAAGTCGTTCTGAGGTTCGCTGATTACCACCTTTTTCTTTTTTTTCTTATCTTTTTCTCTCTCACTTTTATCATTTGAGTTCCCATTCCGCAACATGTTATCAATACTAAACGAGTTTCCACAAGGATTTTCAGCTCCCAAACGCGCCACAGTATTTGCTGGACGAAAAAGACCTTTCCGACCATCGCGAGTACATCCCATCCAATAATATCCATCGGGATATGCTGAGGGTCTAAATTGCTAACCGCTAAAAGTGAAGAAATCCGCCATAACGCAAAAAACAACTAGAATAACCTACTGCTTATCCAGAACCACAATCACTTCTTTAGTGGCATACTGCAGATGATCAATAACACCGTCATCACAGACCGCAACAGTGAGGACTGACTGAGGAGAAATATCATTCAACTGTTCCAAAATTTCACTAAAAGTGGGTCGATCTTCAGGTTTGTAAGCCCAACACTGATGCATCAGTTTATAATAATCAGAAGGACATAATTCTGGACATGGTAGACGTTCATTGCGAGTACAGTCAACTGCACATAAAATCTGCAAAGCAGGTAAGACCTTAACAAACTGTATTTGGAAATCAAAAACCAAAATTTACAACCTCACAAGTTAGGGATTTTTGTAACGCAAAGAACGAAGAGAAGTCACAAGAATGCTTTACCTCAGTACCCGTTAAGCCGGCCCATGGTGTTTGGCCATACGAAAACAGTTCAAACAAAGTTACACCAAATGACCAAACATCACTGGCTGAAGTAAACCTCAAAAAATTTATGCTTTCTGGAGCACACCATGCAATAGGTAGCTTCATTCCTTCAGTCAAATCTCCTCGATAATAATACTCACCTACACCAAGCAATCGACTCAAGCCGAAATCAGCAATTTTCACCTAAAATCATACTTCTATTCAAAAAAAAAAAACAGTAAATTTCAAAAACTAATATATAAGATTTAATTGCCCATAAATAAAGAGGTAAGCAATTAATCAGAGTTTGGGGATTCTCGATAACTCAACTTGTTAAAAATGGTACTTTGTTTGGTGAAAAAACGAGAATATTCCGCGCCGCAAGATCACGATGAATAAGTCGTTTACTGGCTAGATATTTCATGCCTGATGCAATTTGACTGCAAAACTCGCAAAGAGTGTCAATGAAAAATGTTTCCTTTAAACTTGGATTTCGTAAGCATTCTAGCAACGAACCACAGGGCGCTAGTTCAGAAACCTAAATAAGAAATAATGACAAATCTTACTATGGGTTAAAAATTCCATTTCAGAAAACGCATAAAATGTGAAAAACAGTTGTAAATGAGACTGAAATTAGAAGAGCAGCCGACCAGCATAACAGTTTTGGTGTCAAGTACGACGCCATATAGGCGCACGACAAAGTCATGCCTCATTTTATGCATAATAGCTGCTTCCTGGAGAAAATTGCTTGAATTTGCTAGCATCTTCAAAGGGGAAACACATTTTACAGCAACCTAAACATACATTTTTTGAAGTTTACTGTTTATCTACTTTGGTAATTGTATGAGAAATACTGAAATATGTTTATGAAAGTATTAGTGTATAGATTCAAAAGCGCACCTGGATCCTTTCGCCACTACTACTGTTCCAAACTGCTTGATAGACCGACCCGAATTCTCCTTTACCAAGTTCTTTATTCAATTCAATCCTCTCCAAAGGTATTACGTGCTGATCATCATTATTCTGTACAACCTCTACTTTCTTATTTTCACCTTAAAATTCCCACTTATTGCGACTCAGATTACTTCGCCTTAAAACGGTTCAAAAATTATATCAATTAAGTACACTAATGCTACCTCAAAGTAAGGTTAACCTTCTAACCAACACACCATGTTGCAGAAAGAAATACTAGCGTAAATTCGTAAAAACGTACTTGGTGTTCCCAAAAATTTCTTTTTCAGTTTACCCATGATGGTGGCACGAGGGTACAACCTGTAATATGCTGCACGTAAACGTTTCTGTTCCGGACGCGTCATACCAATTGCAACAAAATCTTTTTCATCAGCATAAATCACGTCCGAAGCTTCGCGCAACTTTAAAAGTGCGCGCATTTTCTGCTCATAGCTGAAATGCAGAAAATCAGTTTTTAAAAGCAAAATTGGCGTTTTCAGTGGCTCTCGCAGAGAGCGATTGTGAAGCAGGGAGAACTAAAGAACATTTGCCCAGTACTTTTTTTTTT